CTCAACTGAGAAGGTCTCTGTGAAACTGGGCTGTAGGCAAGCCTGTAGGACATTTTCTTAATTAGTATCTTCTTCTTCTTTTTTTTTTTTTTTTAGATATCACTGCTCTGTCTGCATGTATCCCTGCAGGCCAGAAGAGGGTATCAGATCTCATCACAGATGGTTGTGAGCCACCATGTAATTGCTGGGTATTGAACTCAGGACCTCTGAATGAGCAGCCAGTGCTCCTAACCTCTGAGCCATCTCTCCAGCCCCCCATTTTCTTATTAGTGATTGATGAGGGAGGGCCCAGCCCATTGTGGATGGGACAATCCCTGGGTTGGTGGTCCTTGATTCTAAAAGAAAGCAGGCTGAGCAAGCCATGAGGAGTAGGCAGCATCCTCCACGGCCTCTGCATCAGCTCCTGCCTCCAGGATCCTGCCCTGCTTGAGCTCCTGTCCTGACTGCCTTCAGTGATGACCAGTGGGATAGAAGCATAAGCTGAATAAACCCTTTCCTCCAACTTGCTTTTGGTCATGGTGTCTCATCCCAGTAGTAGAAACTCTAACCACAACAAGCGAGATGGGCAAATGGCAGTGAAGTGTTGGTTGCACACCTGAGTTCAACCCTCATTACCCACATAAAAAAATTAAGCATGCCTACATCTCCAGTGCTGGTGAGGCAGACACAGACAGATCTTTAGGGCTGGCAGGCCAGTTAGCAGAGCTGAATTGGTAAGCTTCAGGTTTAGTGAGAGACCCTGTCTCAAAAAGTATTTGGTGGAAAGCAATTGAAGATGTTTAATGTCAGCCTCTGGGCCGGCACACATATACACTCACATGCTTATACACCCACATGAACACACACACACACACACACACACACTCTTAGGTAGAGGAAGACTGCTTGCCTTCTAAGAGGACACAGGTAAGTAGCAAGGCTGCAAGAAGTGAGTGAAGAATGCAACAAAGGCAGAGGGGCACTGGGAGTGCCGAAAAACAACAGCGATGCATAGCATCACTGCAACAGTCAGAATAAACGCGGATTGGCCGTGTGCTGTCAAGTGAGAGAATACACGTGGCTCGTGCCTATAGTCCCAGCACCCAGGTGCCAGAGGATCGAATATTCAAGAGTATCCTGGACTCCACAATGATTTTGGAGCCAGCATGAACTACCTAGGAGGAGCCTGTCTCAATGAAGGAGGAGAAAGAGGGGGAAGAGGAGGAGAAGGGAGGGAGGAAGATGCCGATGACAAGGAGGGGGAAGAGGCGAGAAATAAAATATAACAGCTTTGAAAAATTTTTAAAGACACAAAACTAGACTGTGGTTGTAAGAGTTAGAATACTGGTTATACCTGGAATAGAGGAAGAAAGTGAAATTCCAGGTGGGAAACAGGGTAGTTCCAAGGCACAAGATATATTCTGTGTGTTGACCTGGGAAATAACTATACAAGTATGTTTGCTTTATGGTGACTTGTTGAGCTAGACAATCTTGTGACTTTACCTATGTATCTGTGCACTAATCCACCTGAGGATCACACACTCACTGTATCCCTGCACTAGTCCACCGTGGATCACACACGCCCTAAAAGGGTGTAGATGAAATTGCTTCATATATAGTATAATCACCAGGTGAGTCTCATTTAACATCCTCAAAATGTGCGATTTATTTTGTTGAATCTAAATACAATTTGGTGACAGTTACACTTCAGGGAAATCTTACCTATAAAGAGCCATTCAGTGGAAGTTTTAGCAATGAGTATCACTGTCATGAGTGTATCAGTTTTGTTCATTTATTTTGTTAAAGCAATATATATATATAAAATGCTAACAAAAAGAAAGGTCCACAGGCAACTCCTTCGTAACTCCTTTGAGAGGCTCATCCTGAGTCAGTCATAACTCAGTGAGTTGAGAGAGTGAATTAAGCAAATTACATCCTGTTGACTCAAACTGCTGTCTGAGTGTAGGAACAGTATCTTACCCACAGCTCATGACACATCTTCTATACATGGCAGGAATGCCCCATCAATTAACATTTGTGGAACAGTGAGTCACTGGGAAGGTTTTCAAGATTACCCTTGAACAACTAACATTTATGCTACCAGTGATAAAAACTGTAAGGTATCTTATATTTCCATATTTTGACATAGTCTGTACCATTTTGGGCAGGTGATTTTTAAGATAGAAAACAGTTGTGTTGATTTTTTTTTTATCTGTAAAGACATGACACTGGTAAGTGATTTTAGGGATGCCAAGAGATGTTTGCTTTTAAAAATTACCTAGCACTTAGAAGTACATCTAACTTGGTTTGGGAACAGGGTCTCATGTAGTCCAGAGTGGCCTCCAACTCATTATGGAGAGGAGAATGATTTGAACTGCTCATCTTTCTACCCCTAGCTCCTAAGTGCTGGAATTACAGATGCTGCCATCATGCCCAGTTTAATGGTGCTATGGACCAAACTCATGGCTTCCAAGATGCCAGGCAAGGACACTACCATCTGAGCCACAGCCCACTATACCCTGCATTTCTGCATTTCAAATACTCTCATCTGTTGACAGGGCAATGGGGAGTGAAGACACTCTTGGGAGAGAGGAAGTGTCTAGCATTTGATAATGCTATCAAAAAGTAGTCATTCTTACTACTAATTCTAGAGAGCACTATTTCATGTCTTTTGCATTCTATATAAAACCATTAGCAAAATAACCAAGGTCAGATGAAGAATGTCACTCTGGATCCATCAGGAAACACAGCTGTGGTAGATGAAGCAGATCATACCTATTCCATCGTGCTGGGAGAGAGGGGCAGCCCTCCAAGCAGCATGTGTGTATGTGCAATAAATCATTCCCTTGAAAAGATAATTACTGAATGACTAGAGAAAAGAGGGGGGAAATCTTGAAGTGCAACGATGTGAAAACTTCTCAAGTTAACATGTGCACAGTTGGTTTCTTTGTTATTCAGTACACGTTGGTAAAAGCTGCTTCGGGACATGAAGGAAATAATGTAATTCTAGTTATTAATCGCTTTAATTTTAAATGTGCTTTGCAAACAGAGAGGACTGGAGACTGAAAGACCGGAGTGGGAAGCACACGTTATTAGATGCTTTATGGGCTCCTTTTGAATTTCTGTTGGGGACGAGAAAATCAAAAGGCTTCAAGGCTCTAGGAAACCTAAGTGTCTGTATGTAATTCAAGAAAGTTCTTTTTCATTTTGCCAACTAATAATATCACAAAGGGAGGGAAATTAGGCCTTGCTCTCAATAGCAATTACAGTAGATTATGCTGAATGAAATCATACTGTTTCGTGAGTCAACCTTCTCTGTAGCGTAATTTAGCAGTGCCTTCTTTGAGGCACTGTGAAATAGAATGAATGTTCTGTGATACTGCAATCCAGAAACCTTCTCTGCCAGAAAGCATAATGCTGCTCTGCAGACCTCCTCCTGAGACCATCAAGGGCCAGGATTTGTTGTTACCAACCAACCATCAGAGGATGTGCTCTGTACAGACCACACTTGCTAATGATCACCCAGTCATACCAGCATCTGAAAATACAAAATTGATCAGCATCTCCAGAAGAATTCTCCAGTCGTTTAAAATAATGGCTTGCAAAGTTTCACGTCTATTTTTTTAAAATTCAGACAGTATCTTTGTGTATGACCCAGTATGTCTTAGAAATCACCAACTTCAGTCCACCTAGTTTGATACTTAGCCTACAGCAAATAATTATCTAACCTGGATGGACATCAGCATCTTCATCTGCATCACCTACTTCACAAAGACATTTGAAGGGATAAGAGATATTGCTGAATTAATGCATCATACCAGAGAAATGGCTTGGATAAAATAAGCAGTTACTAGAATAAAATTAATTATTAAGAAAATTCAAGTTTGAAGTCAGCCTTCTCCTTAACATTTCAAAAAGGAAAAAAGAAAAAGAAAGAAGAAAATTAGTTATTTGTGCACCACTGTATAAGATTCTGGACACTGGGCTTAATGTTTAGACACAGAACTTATCAAGAATCACTAAAAAAAATCCTAGCTTTCTCCCTAAGCTATCAGTACTTTCCCTGGATAAACTAATAATAACTCTCTTATTAATAATAAAGAAACCCTTTCTTCATTCATACTATTTTTTTAAACTGTAATGAGCTCTAGGCTCCGAGTCTATGACTCAGAAAGGCTGGGTTCTTAGTTGGGGGCAATCAAAATCTATCCAGAAAACCAACTTGGAAGCCAATTCATAAGACACAACATCAAGAAATAATTTGGGAACTAAGTAGTAGGAAGACATCCTAGCTCTGTCTGAAAACTCTTGGCAGTGGTCCCACCAAGTAACTGGATCACAACTGATAGCATTAAGTACTAAGAAGGCACTGGTCAAATTCAGCTCTACTCAGCCACACAGGGGATACCTTTCAGCATGGCTTTACTTTCCTCACTCATAGGCCCAAGACTAGGTGAATTATGAAGTATTCCCTCTACAGACAGCTCCCCTATTGTGCTATGAAAACGAAGCAAAAGTACTCAGGGCATCTCCCATTTGGCTCTCTAGTTTTTCTGGCTGCCTGGGGGACAGAGGTTCATGGTCCTATTTAGTTCCTTCATAAATCTGAGATGGAGAACAAGACATTCATGGAAGGAGAAAGAGGAACTCTGCTGTGAATGATGGGTCAGATGGGCAGAAACTCTGCTAGGTGGGTACAGGCACGGGTACCCATGCATCCATATGACATGACTGCCATGGGAACCAAGGTCTGCTAAGTGCCACCCACACTCATGCAGGATTTTGTCACAAGTTAATAAACGGTAAGAGATCAAGGAGTTTTAAAGAGTAAGGAGGCAACTTTACCAACCACACATTAAATGTCAGTATGCCCTTAGCCACATGGAAAGAGCAGGAAGTCAGCTATCCACCATGCAACTGTCACATGCTGGACCCAGGAGCATCATGTAGCAGAACAACTCACACTTCTACGATGCCAAGCCACCCATCAAAACCACATCAGTAAATTCAATAAGCCTTACCTTGACAAAATGTGTTGTTAACCCGCTTATATCCTTGCAGGCACTCCATCATTTGAGTATATCCATGATAGGCTGTAAGTGGGGGAGGGGGAAGAAATCCTTCATTACATTGTAGCTTAAAATCAGATGGTCTGAAACTGCTGGATGCGGTGCCATTCACAGCACCAGCAGACTTATCATTTACAAGCTATCGATACCAATAACGACTCTACAACTGCTTTCACCTCAAGCTTGTTTTCAGTATACTTCCCATTTTGCAATAGCTGTAGTCCTAGAAAGTTGCCAGCAAATCTTTATTGTGTTAACTGAATCATAAGACTGTTTTGTATTATCTTCCAATTAGTGATTAAGTATTCCTATCATAAGATGCATTCCTCTACAGTGATTCATTTCAGAGAACTGGGGGTTAAAGGGGGGGAAATTCTGGCTTGTGGAAGTTGCTCTATTCATCCCTGGCCCCATGTCCAGTGTTGCCCCATATAATGAAGATACTGGCATGGGTACCTACAGAAACTAGGACCTCAGCTGTGAGTCCTTCAAAGACAAAATGATCATATTCAACAGTCTCTATGAGTCTCAGAGCCAGTGCAGGTGATCTCTCAAAGTCTTCCTCTGCTTAGTTTTCCATGCTAATTTTCTCCTAAAACTGTATGAAGACAAGAGACTTGTTCACACTAAGCACATTACTAATAGATGACAGATTAGTTAATGAAATCATCTACAGATTTAAAATTAAGCTTTCATAGCAAAAAAATTCACCAAACAGAACTTCATTAGATAAGCCACTTGAAAGTTGAAATTTAAACTATTTTGAGTTGAAAAAACAACAATAACAACAACAAAACAAGAGTATATGGCAGCCAAGGGAAGTCTTCTCTATTCCAACACGAATATGATTTAGAGAGTAGTACCAACCAAGGGAAGGACAGTTTTTTGACTGTGCTTCTCAGGGGTGAGTCACTTGAGACAGCACAAGCAGAATAAATGCCAAGATCTTAGTGTTTGATTCAATCATCATCATCACTGCCCTGAAACCAAAGCACTCTCTTCAATTCATGTATCAAATGAAGCAACCTATGAACTTACTTTCACCAACTCTTGGTTAAAAGAGAAACTTTGTCCTTTCCCGTTCAACTGAAACACCATCAAGACTGAACTGTGGAGCTAACACCACCATATAAAGCAACAAATTCTTTCCCAGATGATGCAATGCCAGATACAAACAACTGGAGGTCAGGAATGGCCTTAGGAATTAAAGGGGGAGAGATGATATGAACCTTTACCTCTAACCCCTAACTAACCTCTGTCACTCTTGGCTCCTTTGGAATTTAGAAAATAGAAGAAATAGAAATAAAGACACAGCCAGCAAGACAAAACAGCAGCCCACAGAATGGGAAAATATCTTCACCAACCCCGCATCTGACAGAGGGCTGATTTCCAAACTATTCAAAGAACTCAAGAAGCTAGTCACCAAAACATCAAATAATTCAATTAAAAAGTGGGGTACAGAACTAAACAGAATTTTCAGCAGAGGAATCTAAAATGGCTGAAAGACACTTAAATTGCTCAACATCCTTAGCCATCAGGAAAATGCAAATCAAAACAACTTCGAGATACCATGTTACATCCATTAGAATGGCTAAAATAAAAAACACCAATGACAGTTTATGCTGGAGAGGATGTGGAGAAAGGGGAATGCTTCTCCATTGCTGTTGGGAGTGCCAACTTTTATAGCCACTTTGGAAATCAGTATGGTGTTTTCTCCAGAAAATGGGAACCAGTCTACCTCAAGATCCAGCAATTCCACTTTTAGGCATATTCAACTAAAGAATAGATACAGAAAATATGGTACATTTATACAATGGAGTACTACTCAGTGGGAAAAAAAGCAGTGGAATCTTGAAATATGCAGGCAAATGGATGGCACTAGAAGAAACCATCCTGAGTGAGGTAACCCAGTCACAAAAAGACAAACATGGTATGTACTCACTCATATATGAATATTAGACATAGAGAAAAGGATTACCAGCCTGCAATCCACACCTCCATAAAGCCAGGAAACAAGGAGGACCATAAGATAGACATACACATTCCCCCAGTGAAGGGAACAGGGACAAGATCTCCTGAGCTAATGGGGAAAATGAGGGAGGGGGAAGGGAGGTAGGAGAAAGAGGAGGGGAAAAGAGGAGTGGGGAGGAGAACATGAAGGATCAGAAAGATTGGGTGGGGAGATGAATAGAGGAGAGCAAGAAGAGACACATCAATCTCTTATATGTCCTTATATGTTTAAAGAGAAAGCTGGCACTAGGGAATTGTACAGAGATCCACAAGGATGACCCCAACTAGGAATCTAAGCAACAGTGGAGAGGTTACCTTAAATGCCCTGCCCCTATAATGAGAATGATGACTACCTCAAATGCCATCCTAGAGCCTTCATCCAGTAGCTGATGGAAGCAGAAGCAGAGATCCACAGCCAAGCACTGAGCCAAACTCCTGGAATCCAGTTGTAGAGAGGGAGGAGTGACAAACAAAGGGGTCAAGACCAGGCTGGGGAAACCCACAGAAACAGCTGAACTGAGCAAGTGGGAACTCATAGATCCCAGTATGACAGCTAGGGAAGCAACATAAGACCAAATCAGGACCCCTGAACATGGGTGTCAGTTAGGAGCACTGGGCAGTCTATGGGGCCTCTGGCAGTGGAACCAGGATATATCCCTAGTACATTAACAGACTTCAGGAGCCCATTTCCCAGGGAGGGATACTCTCTTAGCCCAGATACACAGGGGAGGGAGGGCCTAGGCTCTGCCCCAAATAACTTGACAGATTTTGATGATCCCTCATGGAAGGCATCACCCTCCCTGGGGAGTGGATAGGGGATGGGGGATCGGTGGGGGGGCATGGGAGGATGGGAGGGAGAGGAATTTGGTATTGATATGTAAAATAAGATATATATATATATATGAAATAGCTAAGATTTGGAGAAAAGACACAAAGAAACAAGCAAATGGGAAAGACAACAAGGAGGAAGAAGGAAAAATCATTAAGAAAAAGCATTAGAAACTTAGACCAAAACCCAAGTTGGAGGATCTCTTCTCATCCTCATCCTTAAACCTAACAGTGGGAAGCATGCCACCACCCACAACATTATTAGACAAGCTCACATGGCCAATGAAGGGTGCATGGCTCCCAAAACAGACGGCAATGTGTTTTCAATAATTTAGATGCAGATTCCTGGTTACTGGCTGATCAGGATTAACAGTAAATGACAGCAGTGGCAGTTGAATTCATATCACCCCAACTCCAAACACCATGTCCTTTAAATAACTACAAATAGATGCCAGAGATTCCTTCATTCGGATAACTATAATAATTTAGGTAACAGATCTTCAAGTCAGGTGGGGTGGGGGTGATGATTCCACCAGCTACCTGGAAATCTGCACTGCTAATCATTATTCAGTCATCTTGGAAAATCTGTTCCCTCACTACAGCAGTTCGGGTGATTTTTTTCTCCCTCTTTAATGAAGTTTCACAAACTTCAGCAGGAATTTCTATAAATGAGTCTTCTAAGAGACATTAGTAGTGTCAACAAATGTAATCAAGTCAACTTCAGGTATTCAGAGAACCTAAATGTATGTGAAATGAGGAGTCCAAATGACCAAAAAAATAGTGTTTACAACATATTACTATGCTGGGAGAATAATATAAAAGAGGCAGAAAGTCTGAACCAGCAGTTTTTTAGGTTAAACAAGGAGGTTTAAAAGGCAGGTGAGGGGGTAAGAGATGGCTCAGTAGTTAAGAGCCCTTGTTGCTCTGGCAGAGGTACAGGGAATCAGCCCCCAGCATCTGCATGGTGGGTCACACCATCCATAACTCACTTCCAGGAGATCTGACACCCTCTTCTGAACTCGGTGAGTACAAAGCCCAAGTGGGGCACACAAATGTGCATGCAAGCAAACCCCTCATACACACAGAAGAAAATAAACAAATCTTAAAAGGTGTTAAAGACAACCGGAACTATTAATCCAATCAACCATTACTTAAGATGAATAAATCAAAATCACCTGGTTGAAGCAAATGAAATGTCCCTTTTAAGATAACGGAAGCAATTATAAAAATCTTTTAGAAATATCAGCAGGAGTTAAAAGCTGCATTCAAAAACTAAAGCTACAATCTGTAGTGGAGAAGAGGGGAATGGAATGGTATAAACCTGGATTTCCTCAAATAATAGTTTCTACACAACACTCCAATGATAAATTTCAGCATGCTGGTATTGCCGCCACTGAAGACTGGTGTCAGGAAACGGGAGGTAAAATGCTAGGCTCCATCATTACACACTTCTTTTTCACAAGTGAATAACCAGTCAGGTTCTGATCCAAGATGCTTTTCATGAAGGGAAGGTCTGTAGCAGAATGAGATCTATAACCTACTGCATGGCTAGTCACAAAATTTCCAGTTAATGATGACTCTAACCTAATAAATATAACTGTACTGACTTTTTTATATAATGTTTGAAATACTTGTTCATTCATCTCCTATTCCGCAAGGCCAGAGGAGTTGATTCTGCTCATCATTTCTTCACAGTCTCCCACACATAAGAAATTAAAGTGTAGAAGGCGACTGATAACTATGCATATTTTAAAAAGGATCTGACATGAAAGTTTTAATTGTCTTGGGAAGTTTCTAGAAATACACGTTGTAGCACTACATTCTGGAATACAGCCAGGGATTTCTTTGAAGGTCTAAGGGACTCATCATTAAGAGCCATGGTAGGAAAGAGGCGTGCTCCATTAACCAGTAAAGAAATGATGACATGTCACTTACATGGCTTCTTGGGGCATTTCTGGCATTTGTTAAAGCCCCAGGAGGTCCCCACTGTCCCACAGCAGTCCTCTTGCTTTGAAAGGCCAGGGAGCGCTTTGCCACACTGCAATGAGGTGTGAAACAGCGAGGTTAACTGAGTGCAGACTGCTCAGCCCCAGAGCTGGGGTGCTTCCAGTCACTTCAGAAACAGTTCCCTTGATACCGTGAGATTACAGAGGAAAAGAATGGCTATAAAACGTGGAGGCCAAATACTAGGGCACAGCCGATACAGCACACAAGTGAATAAGCACATTTCCATATATGAGCTCCATTGCATTTGTAAAATCTGACGTGTAGGAGGAAGCCTGTATGCCGGAGCCACACTGACAAACATCTGAAGCAGCTTGCACAGGTCCACGTACAAGGCTTATGGTTTTTACCATTTGCCTGGGTTTTCCCTAACTGCACCCTGTCCCCTCACCTGGGGAGTACATGTCAGTTTTTAGGTCTCCCCACAACAATTACTTGTTCAGTGTTCCTTCATTGACTTGTTCTTTCGTGGTTCCTTTGCTCTGTGTTTATTGAACAGTTAGAATACATTTGTGAACTGAGTGGGATACAAAGACGGACGTATTCACTGGCCTGAGATGGGCAGTCATGAAACTGTAAAATGAGCTGCGAAGTCAACAAGGAAGGAACCACAGAACCTGAGGAGGACCGAGAAGGGACAAACCGAGAAAGGTCAATCTGAGAGATAACCATAGGCTGAAACAGATCGGTTCTGCAGACACTAATGCTCCAGGTAGATCAGCCAAGTGGGGAAGGGGCTAGCAGTTTTAATCAAGACCAGTAGGTAGAACGGATACCCTTAGAACTATGGTTCCATCTTGTCAAATATCAAAGTCAGGTGAGACCCCTGGTCAACCATAGAAGATCGGGTGACCCTGAAGCAGGCGGCTGAAGTTACTTAGAACTACCTATAAAACTTGATCCTGTCCCACAAGACTTACTTGACACTCACCCCCCAGCTGCACAGGTTAAGCTCATACCCCACGTCTTTGTCTTGTGTACAAACGTGGAGTGTCTAAGGAGCTCCTCTGCTTTGCCAAAGAAAAATATTCAAATGGCTTCCAGAGTCATCGTTTCTAAAAGAAATCTGGTCACATAACTCTGCCAACCTCCAGCAACATTGTCTGCCGTTATCCCCAGGCAAGATAAGAAGTCCCCTCTGGTCCTACTTTAGGATAACTCTGCCAACCTCCAGCAGCATTGTCTGCCGTTAATCCAGGCAAGATAAGAAGTCCCCTCTGGTCCTACTTTAGGATGCATCTTGTTGTCTTCCATCCCTGAGCATCTATTTAGGCTTGGCAGAGGACCCTTTTGACCATCTGAACAACTCAGGTATATTTGAATGCTGGCTTCTGTCTCTGTGTCTCTCTCTGTCTGTCTCTGTGTCTCTCTCTGTCTCTGTGTCTCCCTCTGTCTATCTCTGTGTCTCTCTCTGTCTCTGTGTCTCTCTCTGTCTGTCTCTGTGTCTCTCTCTGTCTCTGTGTCTCCCTCTGTCTGTCTCTGTGTCTCTCTTTGTCTCTGTGTCTCTCTCTGTCTGTCTGTGTGTCTCTGTCTCTGTGTCTCTCTCTGTCTGTCTCTGTGGTCTCTCTCTGTCTGTCTCTGTCTCTGTCTCTGTCTCTCTTTGTGGTGCTATCATTTTTTTTCTTTCCTCCAACTTTGTTTCTACCATGGCTCCTCGGTTCATGATTCATTTTCTGTACTTCAAACATGATGCTACACAGGTCCACTGCTACCAGTTTCAGTTCAGTGTGTGTGTGTATTATCTTTATATCCCCAAACAGGATATATTTCAAATGTTCAATAATGCCGAGTAGAGCAATTACTATGGGAAAACCCACTAGAGGTTAGCATACATGTCCCAGGACAGGGGCCCTATGTACAATGAGAGAAAGTCAAAGCAAATGGCAATCCTAAGAACAGCAAGATGTAGACACCGGTGACCTGGCAGGCCTCCATGGACAGTGTTTCCTTCCTGCTGGGTCCAGGCATGCCTCATTCTGACTGAGGCTCTGCGTAACTGCATACATAACTCATAAAGCAAAACCACATCAGAGAAGGCCAGCTAGAGTAGCAGCATGATGTTGGTGTCCTTAGGCTTTTATGATTTTATATGATTTTAATAATTTTGACAAGTGTTATATACTTTCCAAAAGCAGTTTGTGATAGTGGTTAAAACAGGAACTGAGACACTCTAAAAGCCTGGGCATGAATTCTGGTCAAGGACTCCACACACACAGTTAGATGAATTTTCTTATCCATTACATGGAATACATAATAGCACCTATCCATATGGTCATGAACTTGAAGGGTAAAATCCATGTACAACACTGAGTATTATGTCTGACATATGTGAGTGCTAAGTAAGCTATCACTTTTATCACTATCATTTATCATCATCATCAGAATGTTTCTTATTCCAGATGTCCCACATCAAATCCAAATTGTCAGATTCTTCAGGAAGCAAGAGGCATATGAGTGAATTGGCGTGGACTATGATTGTCCTGTGAAACAAGCTGGTTAGTCTAACCACCCACTTAAAAATACCACAATCAACAAGACAAGTATTTCTAAGACAAAATTATTACCCTGGAATAAAAGGTAGTCCTAAGACAAAATGATTTCCCTGGAATAAAAGGCAGTCCTGAAGACATTTTGAGTTGGCCTATTTTTGAAAATAACCTAAAATATGTATATATATATATGTGTGTGTGTGTGTGTGTGTGTGTGTGTGTGTGTGTCTCAGAGAAAGTGAACAAGGCCGAGGTCACCACATCCATGACATTTGATAGTTACTCCACAGACAGGATGAGCTAGGCATGCTTTTCTTGAAAGAGACAGGAAAGCAACCCAGTTGGTTGAATGACCATTGCTTGTGCAACGTGCAACTGTTATAAACAAGTGCACCAACAGGGAAGCCTGTGTATGGGTAGCTTTTTGCCAGCTGTGGGCACTACATGCTGAGTGGGAATATTCCAATCTCAGATCTGGATCTGCCCCAGGCCCAAGACAGGAAGCACAAGCATGCAAGTGCAAACACACACACACACACGCACACACACACACACACACACCACATTAAAAAAAAGATAAAGAATCAAGGTGAAGACAAACTACCTGAATCAGAATAGTTGCCCAAGCCCTTGAGCTTAAACACAGGCAATTTAAATAAATACTAGGAGCAGGAAATGAAAGGGGACAATGACTGAGGTATAAGACAAGGAACAGCTAGGCGTTGGTGGCACATGCCTTTAATCCCAGCACTTGGGAGGCAGAGGCAGGCGGATCTCTGTGAGTTCGAGGCCAGGGTAGACCGACAGCCTCCAAAACAATACAGAGAAACCCTGTCTCATAAATACCAAAAAAAAAAAAAAAAAAGACAAGGAACAAATAAAAACACAGAGGTCTGCATTGCAGAAACCTGGCTGTCAACATCTGCTTACCATTCTCTTCCAGCTTCATAAATTGGTTGGGCTTATTTGAGTCACCACCAACTTTGCACACAGCTCATTCTTGCACCAGACTCTGGGCTAGTCTCTTAATCAGGCGAAGCACTCAACACTTGCCGATTTTATATGCTCAAAATGTTAGTAGCAGTTAAAATCCAATTTTCACCTTGGATTCCTAGAATGTTTTATTTGGTAGGGCAAAAATAAGTCATTTCCCTCTACTGGGCCTCCAAAAAGGTACACGGCTTCCATTACGTGATCCAAGCTGCTTTATCCCATGGCTTTGTTTTTGCAGATCTCCAGCCAAGAGCATCACAACCCATCAACTTCTGGCATACATGGGATGCGTAGGTAGTACCATAGCACTGTGTGGGTGTCTTGAAATTGGGCCTACACAGGATGAAGTCATGGTTTTAAGGTACAAGGTTTCTACCAGTCCCACCAACTGTTTGAGAATAAAGAAGCTTCAATGTGTAACCAAGAAATGTGACATGAAAGATCTCCATGGCCACACTCCAGGCTTTTACCCAAGAGGCCACTGGATACCATAAGTCTTATCTGAGTGTAGTCAGAAGTACCCAGAGAGGGGGCAAAAAGTTATGTCAATGGGTGATGCCTCTCCCACACCAAAGGACCACATTGGAGAGAATAACCCAGAATAGAATGAGGTTGGGATGCTCTGCTCTAAGGCTGGGAAGTTCTGCTTCTCCACGAGATGAGCTCACATGGACACAGACTCCCCTAGGCACATTCATATGCAGGAATTCAGGTGGTTTCTACAGATGAAAAACACAAGTGGACTGAGAAGACTTTCTCCCATGGAGTTAATCATCACATTCTCAAAGAAAGACTGTCAAATATTTCAGAACCCATCTTACATAATGTGTACCCTTGTATCTAACTCTATCAAGTCAAACAGCAAGGTGCTCTAAATCCTTAGAAAACATCCATATCCTTCAGCGCTAGTGAAGGGACAGCAATCCCACGTGTTTGCTAGGAGCCAACTAGGGCAGGGCAAGCAGAATATTCAGGCAACAAGTTCCATAAAGATCAGCTGAAGAATGGAGCACTGGTAAGCCTACACGTGGATGTGAGGGCAATGTGCAAATCTATTAAACAAGCCTATTGAGTTCCAGAGGTTTTCAGCAGCACTGAAGACCCAAATGCACTGGAGAAGAGGATTTATCCCACAATGTAGATGATCTTTCCACAGTAAATGTTTCTACCTAATGGGAGATAGTGACCTCTCTGGTGAAAGCTGAGCCTGCTGGATCATCTCTCAGGAATGTTCAAGATGCAAAGCAAATGACCTCTGTGTGGTTTCTTGCAGGCTTGAGATTCTGAGGTCAGTATGTGCTGCTAGGTTACATGACTCAGTTTAGAAAATACAGACTACTGAAAGACAGAGCCAAGTTCAAGGACTTCTGTTGTTATGACAGGGCCAAGTCTGGGCTGCTAAGCTCCTAGCCCTCTCCCTTGTCTGTTCCTACTTCCTCATCCCCAGAGTCTTCACTGAGTCTAAACTTCTGCCGACTAGACTTAGGCAAACAAGACAAAAGAGGGAAAAACCAACAGCTCCACTTGACCTTCTGAAAAACTGAGTGTCGAA